TTGCGGTTTTAGCGGAAAAACGTGTTTTTGGGTTTTTGGTGTGAAAAATGCATTTGGGGGTTTTGGCGTAAAAACTTGTTTTTGTGGTTTTGGCGGGAAAAAAACGTTTTTGTGGTTTTGGCGTGAAAACGCGTTTTGAGATTTTGACGGGAAAACACGTTTTTGCAGTTTTGGCAGGAAAACATGTTTTTACGATTTTGGTGGGAAAACATAGTTTGTAGTTTTGGCAGAAAAACGTGTTTTTGGGAGTTAGGCGTGAAATCGAGCTTTTGGGATTGGGGGAAAAAACTTGTTTTGGCGGAAAAGCGCATTTTTCCGGTTTTGCGGAAAAACTCGTTTTTATAATTTGGCGGAAAAGTGTATTCTTGCGATTTTGGCAGAAAAATGCGTTTTTGTGGTTTTGACGGAAAAATACGTTTTTAGGTTTTAACAAGAAAGTGTGTTTTGTAATTTTGTAATTTTTCGTGACAAAATGATATTATGTTTATGTTTGTAATTTGTGAATTAATCAGAGTTATAATAGATATTATATCATTTTGACATAACTGCTTCAATTTAGATCAGTCAGCTGATTTTTAAAATTAAGGTTAAATTTCAAAAGTCGTCTAGATGATCCAGTAGAATTCCATTTAGCCTAGTATATATTGGTACTTGTTGTGTAGCCAAGTTAGGAGAGAACATGACAGGTGTAGTAACTTGCGGACTAGCAAAATGTTGGTGTATTCTATGGACTGAAATCATTCTAAACATGTTTTCTTCCCATGACTCTTTTTTACACATTTGCTACACATTGTTGTTGGATATAAGAATGACCATAAATAAAAACCAAAAATACTTGATCGGTAAAATAGTATTTCCATGTGTTTAAGGGTGACAAAACCAAGAAGGCTACACATCGTTTAGAGCTGTAAAATGATCATGTGATATTAGTATCAGACAGGATGCACAGTGGTGTTAAACGCATATGTAGTAATAGGAATCGACATCATTATTTAATGTTTTGGTTCATCCGATGAACAAATGATCCAAAGAGGACACATCTGTGCATAAACCAAGAAACAAAACTCAGCTGCTAACTTGGACTTTTGATGAAAAGGTCCAGAAAGCGAGACAGTGAGTGTAGTACCAATAAAGAAGAGATAGGTGGAAACATATTGCTATTTTTTTGGAAATAATTACAGTGTAGGACATATTTAAGTTTTTTATTACACTATGGGTCACTTTGTTCTACTGACACACTTATTCTTAACCAAACCCACTTACAATTACTAACTTAGTTGATTTTAGGCGAGATGCTACCACAACCATTGATCTATTTTTTTTTTGATCCAATGGTTCAGACTTAACAAACTTTATTTTTTTTAAAAAGTACTTTTTTCGTATAGATATTCATTAAATCTTCTTCTGCCGTGTAAACCTTCTATCCTCTTGGACTAAAAAATCTTCTTCTACCTCTCTATTCGTTCGTGTCTCACATTCTATATATTAGATTGAAAAATTTTAATTGGTGTGTGAGAGAGCTTAATTGCATAGAAGAACTTTGATCTCGCATAAATCCATAATCGGAAGTGATATCGCTGCTAACCGGGGAATCTCGTCGTCTCCAGTGAAAATCATTCCGCATGCGTTTCTAACAGATGCGAGGAGAAGATGAAAGAGAGAATAAGCTCGTCTATGCTGTGATTACGACAGTCAACGTCACATAGCTTCACTCGTCATCACCGTCAAGCTCCGGTCAACATCACAGCTAACAAAACAAAATGAAATCAAGAGCAATAAGACCAAGTCAAATGATTTGAGGTTGTCTTTTATTTTATTCATGTTAATAAGCTAAGGGGCTGAGGAACTTCTAATTTTCCTGCAAAATTCGTAACCCTAAGGGGCACATGAAGAAGATGAAATAATTACGATAACGCCATTAATGAATTAACATTAAAAAAAGGTGTACATGTAGACATGTGTACATGTGTACATTCTAAGTGTACATGTAGATGTTTATTAATTAAATGTACATGTAGATGTTTGTAAGAATCATTAAAATCACTCATATGCTATATACACCACTTTCATCTTTGATGGACACGTGTATACCATCTTGTATACATGTGATTTTTATAAGAATAATTTTATCTTTGATGGACACAACTAAATTGTACAAAATACATAAAGTACATAACTAAATTGTACACAAAATAATAATATTTTTATCTTTGATGGACACGTATGTATCCTCTAGTATTCATGTGATTTTTATAAGAATCATTACTTATGCGGTGTACAATAAAAGTAGTGTACATGTGATTTTCTACTGATGATGTACACCAAATATGTGTACATACTTATTGATGATGTACACCAAATTTGTGTACATATTGTTTTGGTGTACAACTGAGACTATCAACCATATTACTGAAGACATTTCTCATTGATGATGTTTTCTAAAATTGTGTCCATGTTATAGATATAAACGTATACATTCACACCAATCGTTTAAACTTACTTATATTGTATGTATTTAACATGCATAACCATCTGTTCTTACTGATGATGTTCAATAATTTTGTGTACATGTTTTGTTGGTGTACAATGACTATAACTAAAATGGTATCCATGTTATAGCTTTACGTATGTACATTCAAATCAATAGTTTAAACCTCTTTATACTGTACGTACTTAACATGCATAACCATCTATTCTTACTGAGGTTGGTGAAAATGTACACATATAATATTTGTACACATGTAAAAATGTACATGTGTATACATTTCTAATGTTCATGTGAGTTTTATAAGAATCATTAATACTTGTGCGGTGTACAAAAATACTAGTGTATATGTGATTTTCTTTAAAACAATGTATATGTGGACATGTGATTTTTAAAGAAGAGCTACTATAGATGTGAACTAGTGTAAATGTGATTTTATAAAACAACTAGTGTATATGTGATTTTCTTTAAAACATTGTATATGTGGACATGTGATTTTTATAAAAGAGCTACTATACATGTGAACTAGTGTAAATGTGATTTTATAAAACAACTAGTGTACATGTGATTTTTTTTTATGAAATCATTAGATATCATAATTTCATTTGTAGATGTATTTGTAAGCATCAATGCTTTGTTTGGATTCAAGCACTAGAAAAAATCAGAGTGGGCAACATATACATTCCTCTTGCTGGAGAAACAATGTATAGCGTTTATGTATTATTGTACAAGTTAATTTTGTGTACATGTGAATCATTGTACATATGGATGTATTTTGACATTTAAACATATGAAGGTTGTTCACTTTACTCGTGTACACGAACAAAAGTATATACACAACTTATGTACCCATCCACATCATCTGAATTATGTACACATCTTTGTGGTCACCCAATGTACTCATGTACACTAACATTATGTACACAGACACGTCATCAGTTTCTTTTTAAATTTTTTTTTAAAATTAAGGGTAATTTTGTAATAATATCATCTTCTTCATATTAGGGTTTTCTGAGTTTTCTGACAAAGCCACCATTGCTTTCTATCATCCAATCTTCTTTTTTTTTGTGTTTTTACCTCCAAAACTTACAAATGTTATGCAAATTAAAGGATTAGAACTTATGACCCAAAAAAAGGTTTTGATTTTAGTCATGGCTGACGACATAGATTAAGCCGTTCCGGAGTAACATTGGAGACGTGTAAGAAGACATGACACGCTGGTGCAGAGAGTGACCACACGGTCACGACGGATTGAAGATTCGCAATTGAGTCAAAAATGTTCTCTAGCCGATTTCTGATTTTTTAGGTGGTGGTGCTTATATGTCAAAGTGAAGAACAAAAGGAATGAACCACATATGTGTTTTTGTGTGAGAAAAAACTTACGATGAATGAAAAAGAAAGAGAAATAAAAAGTTAAGTAATACTTTAATGAAAATAATTAAAATAAGAGAAACAAAAAGAAAGTGGAGGAAACTAGAATTTTTTTGTAGTTACGTTTAGTTAGAAAAATGGAAGTAAAGTTACTAAAAACTGTCTTAGTAGCAATAAGTGTCTTGTAGTGTAATAAAAATTCATAAAGTGACTCTGGATGAAAATAACTTTTTTTTTTGCTAAAAGATTGAATGGAAACATACTGCTGCAAGCCTTGTCTAGTTTGAATATAAATGTGAATTATTATTGGAATTTATTTAACTAAATCATAAATTTATAAAATGTACAAATATATATATATATATATATAGTTATTTATATAGTTATATACATATCTAAGATGGTTAGAGAATTATTTAGATAGATATCGTTTTTTTGTCAGCATTTTAAATAGATATCTATTTAAATAGATATCTAATTATCTAAGTTGGCTATTCATTAGATACCTATTAGCCTAATACATATTTAGATGAAATAGTTGTCTATGTATACGCGTTGGTTAATGTATGTCATAAGAATAAGATAGAAGAGTGAAATTCAGAGATGATGCATGTCATAAGAATAAATAGATGATGCATGTCATATGAGTGTTGAAAAGCACTGTATACGCGTTGGTTAATGTATGTCATAAGAATAAGATAGAAGAGTGAAATTCAGAGATGATGCATTAAAAGTACCGTTGTTGGTTACTGTAAGATATATCATATAGCACACATATTTGTATCGTTTATTATTTATTTTAATAAAAATACCAGCTTCTGTTTCATGTATATAATTGATTTCCTCCTACAATGTCATTAACAAGCCTGCAACCTTCTGCGAGTTGGTACAATTACACACGTGTGAAAACGCCCAATTTCAGACTCGTTTTATACGGAGAGGACAGTACTAATAAAGAAGAGAGATTGAAAAACCTGTGAGTGACGAACGTTTTTGTCCAGAAGACTTTGCCACTTTTGCAACTTGAAGCCAAAGTATATACTTGTAAAGTAAATCAGATGCAGAAGCAGAACCACAAACACAGACAATTAACAAGAGAAAACTATGAGGGAATGATTCAGAGAATAGAAACATATCAAGCCAGTAAAAATTTAAATTATTATTTATTTCTTGAAAATTAGAGAGATTAAACATTACATTATTACCTTAACTAACAAGTTAACCCCAACCCCTCAAAAAGACCCTTATGTTTGGGTTTTTTTTTAGTAGGCTAGTCTTTGTTAGTCTGTGCAATTTTCATTGCCTCTGTTCCAACACAGATCTTCCTAATAAATCATACAACTTTACAACACCATGTTACAACAAAACACATTCATGGCACCACCACTTTGATCCATTCGTAACGTCCTGGCAATGGATTTTCCGACACAATGTCAAAGTTGTACCTGCAAAACCATAAACTCCCCCAAAATCAGACAACATGCTCTGAAACCCATGATCAAATTCAAGAGAGGTAGCCTTTTGTCAAAAAAAAAAATGATTCAAGAGAGGATTTTTTTACTTTTCAGTGAAGTATCTCTGTTGTTGCTGCTCTGCGAATGCAAAGAAGTCTTCAATCTCACGAGAAGGAACACTTTGTGTAGCTTCTTCTGAGTCTCTTCTCAAGCTACACGGCGTCGTTTCTCTGTAGACGGAAAAAAAATACAAAATACATATTCAAGAATACAAATTATAATCTCTCTGTAAACAGAGTATAGATTTCCACTGAAATTACCTGTCTCCTGATTCGAACTCGGAACCTTTCTCTTCAAAACTACAATCAGAACCAGTCTTCACCAAGTTACTACCACAATCTTCTTCCGGTTTCGTTGTCTCTGACTCAGATTTCTCCGAGTTAGCTCTAGGGTTTCTTGTTTCACGTTTAACGACACCGTTTGTCACCTGTTTCTGCTGGTGTTTCCTTGTATCTCCGAGTAAAGGAAGCTTAACGAGACGGCGGCTCCGGAGCTGGAGGTATCGAAACGAGTCTGCGTCGAAAGATGGAGGAGTGGTATGGGATCGGAGACGCTGCAAGGCGAGGTTCTTGGCGGCTCGGGTGCGAAAAACAGAAGTGGTTTGGTGAGAGATATCTTTTATGGAAAGGGCTCCGGCGATCTTTGACTTCTTTATGTATTTTCCCATCTTCGGGAAGATGATCGAAGGAATCTCTGGTTGAGAGTTAAAGGAGGGAAACGATGAAGAAGAAGAAAGTGGGTTTTAATCTTAAAAGGTGAAAACTGAAAGGGACAATGGAAAAGGTTTTAGGGGAAAAAAATAGTGAAATGTGAAATGTTTTATGGTTTTTGTTTTCTCTTTAGCGTTTTTTTGTTAAGGTAATCTGATTTATTAATTTTTGATTAATTAATTTTGCTGTGTAATTTTTGGTCCAAAAATTAAGTGATCAGGATTTAAAACTGTAGAAAATGGCATTACCCTCACGAATATTGTCTAAACGAACAACAAATTCAGATCCATACAGTGAATAATACAATATTGTTTTTACAAATTATATTAAAAGATGAAGAATTTTTTCAGCTATTTGACCAAAACATAACTATTTTTATATCATTAAAAGATGTGATTTTTACAAAATAACGAGAGTAAATTTTATACAAAATATGGAGCATGATATTGGTAAGAGTTCATTGTGATTCCACATATTAAACATACAACTGTTTATTTTGAAGATAATATAAATACATTATATCTTAAAATCTGCTTTTATAATCATTTTCACAATTATAATAAATAATAATTTTGGTTGTAAAATAAAAAAAAAATTCAAAATATAATAATATTAGTATGATTTATGAGTGGATGCAGCAAGATAAAGAAAATAATGTCGCCGAAAGTAACAAATACTATAAGAATAAAAAACAATTAAACTATATTAACTATTTCGGTAGACTATCCCTTATATATTAAAAGAAAAGCATTATAATAAATATGTTCACACCATAAATGACACATGTCGATTTCACAATCATTTGACAATAATACGTTCACATACTATTTTAAAAAATTTATGATTTAATGTGTTTATAGACTATTTTTAATTAATTTATTTTTCCTATATTTTTAGCCATTGTATTAATAATTTAAAAAAAATTACGTGAAATTAATGAATAATATCTTTATTGCAAAAAAATACAAATCATTAAGATTCACATCAACTAAAATGTTGCGATGAAAATGTTTGTAAAAATTGAAAGTTTCGTATATTGCCGAAGTTGGTCATGATTGAGGCTCCAGTACATAATAAAAACAAATACGGTGTCTGATTACGAAATAAAGAAACTGAAGTGAAAAACACCACACGTAAAATCGGATCTTTATTTTAGTCAAATATTAACATTTTTATAAAGTTTTCATATCAGACCAAGAATTATAAACAAAATCAAATTGGTAGAAAAATAAAAAAAAAAATCAAAAAAAAAAATAAAAATCACAAAATCGATTAAAAACAGAATTCAGGTATCAAGTGAAGATGTCACTTTGTAATATATATTATGTTATCGTTTATGGGTACAATTTGATTTTGTTCATATGAAAAATGTTATTAATTTCTAGGTTTATTTTATTTTTACTTAATTTTATTTAAGAATTTACTATCATGTGTTATTTTGAATAAAAATGTTTAAAATCTTAATTAACAGTATATTTATATATTTATCATTACATTTATATACTTTTACATATACATATATGTACACATTGACATGAGAGACTATATAACTAAATATTCACCACAAGTGAGAATTTTAATTCTTATTGAAGTTGAAACTTTTTTTAATGTTTTCTTTCACTATCGCTAAAATTATAGTGAAATTTTTTGTGTTAATAATTTTATTTTCTTTTTTTTTTCTTCAAATATTATTTATATTTTATTTGATTTTACCTGTCTTAAGAAATTATAATAGGAAAATATTAGTTCAGCATAAAAAATGTCTAAAATTTATATAAAACGAAACCAAACAAATACAAATAATTTTTGGTTATCATCGAAAAAATTAAAAACATCAAACATTTAAACCAAACAAACCAAAATAAATATAAATTTAGAATGATAGTTATGTTTTAGGACATTAAATAAAACAACGTAAAACTGAAACAATATGCATGCTAAAGAGATATAATATCATTTTCATCTTAAAAGTAACAAAAAATAATTATCTCATTCTATACAAGGCACAGATTATTACATATCTTCTATATATTAAAAGAGAAACATTTGAAAATTGTAACCTCAATTTTCTAATAATTAAAAAAGGATCTCATGCTTAGGTGTCACTCAATTAGGTAGTCAATTACATTCAATTGAAAAATAAGTAGGTGCGCATTGGATTTTTATATGTCGCTAGATATATTAGTTGGTCAAACTATATGATATGATGATATGATATGATATTTAGGATATAAACATTTATGATTGTTTCTTTAGATATAATTACTATTTTGTTTTCTTTCTTTAAATAAAACCTACGGAATTACCATAAATGACTAATATATATATATATATATATATATATATATATATGATAATTAATGATTCTAATAATAAATATTTGATAACAATTTATGTCTCCTCCATCATATTTTCTTTAATTTTATATTATTAAAATAAATTAAACAATCAAATTAGCTATAAAACTAAACTTTAGATTTTTTCGTATATATTATATTTTAAATTTTAGAAAACGAGAATAAATGACTAAAACTATTAAAATTCTTATGAGAAAAATTAATGATCAATAGTTTAACATTTTTATTATAAAAAGATACACATGATTTTTAAACCATATGAGTAAAAAGTATAATTCAATAATAAAACAAATATATATATAGATTAAACTATATACCATATAAGATTACATAAATATTTTAATTTCAAAAATTTCAATGAATTTTCAAGAACATTTATAAATTATAAAATTATTAAATTTTTCACATTTAAATTTTTTTGTTATCAATGATTTAAATATCTTAGCTCTTTTTTTAATTTTATATTATTAAAAATATTAAACAATCGATAATATGTTTTTTTGGTATATATCATACTAACCAAATGGAAGTGATTTTATAAAAACTGTAGAATTTGGATATGGTTTAATTTATAACCGATTAAACTGAAACATATAAATATGTATATATTTATAACGCCGCATGAATATCTATTTTTTATATGAGTTGAACTATAATTACAATTTCTAAATCACTTAAATCATTTGAACTATAATTAACTAACAGTTTACTGCAACTAAGGCCTTACTTTTTTATTTTATTTTTGATCTTTTTGCTTTATTTTAACAGTAACTAAATCGAAGTAAAGATTATAAATTTAATGACCAACAATTAGTTGAAATTCTTTACAACTTTTTTTTATCTTTAAACAAACAGAGTTGTGTTCAATTCAAGACATATTAATTTGATGAACACTAAATATGGAAGAATATAAAAAAATTTCTCTCATTCTGTTTTGTTTTTTATTTTTATTTTCAAAATTGATATTAATTCCAGATTTCATCATTTTATTAGATGATAGAAGCCTTTTTATTCTTTTATTTAAATATATAATATTTTTTAATAAATGAATTTTTGACAATATGACTCTAAATGTAATCATATTATATATTTGTATAATATATAATATGATTTCAAAATTAAATAATTATGTTTTTGGTATAAAACTGAATAAACTGAAAACCGATGGTATATAAACCAAATTGGATTTAAAATAGTAGTTATATTTTAATAAACAAAATACCAAAAAATCGAACCGAACTAAAACCCGATATCCGGATTGAACACCCCTAATCCAAATGAACCGAACTATTGTTTTATTTTTGAAAACATAATAAAAATAACAATTTCATCCCGCGCAAGGCGCGGCGGGTCTTATCCTAGTTCCTTTGTTAAAACACGAAACGAATCCACACCTAAAGTGTAAAAAAGTTATTGTAATTGACTACCTCTGTGGATTAATTCTTTTTGTTGATACAAGATGATTGTGCTATGTGCCTATGTGTATCAAAAATGTTTTGATTTTGGGTTATAGTGAAGTTCTTTGACAACCGTCAAACATATATTTGTTCAATTTCACCAAAAAGTACACTTTGTAAAAGAATATATACGGCATCAGATTTGTTCTTTTAAATCTAAACAAGAGAAATTGCTTAAACAACCACTAAATATCATTTTTCATATTTATATTAACCACATTTATTTTTGGTTTAAAGAAGGTAAATAGTCACTTATAATCCTAGAACTAATTAATTAATTTTTACAATTTAAATTTGAGGGAGGGTGAGGTTTGAAATTTTAATAAATATATAAATAAATATTTTAAAAATATTTTTAAAAAATTTTATAAATAGTTTCAAAAAGAAAATTGGAAAAATAAAACTATGAAGAATGTAAATCTGAAAAGGTATACTTTGAAAACAATAAAAAAAATTAAATTTATTTTATTATTTATTTAAATTATTATTTTCTCTTATATATTTATAAATCTATACTATTATTTGCGAAGTGATTTTTCGCAATGGAGCTCTCACGTTAAAAGTTAGAATGGTTAATATCGATATTACCCTTAATGAATTAATATATAAATCAGCTAATAATAAAAACGAATTTAATATTTATTTGATTAGATTAATGATTTAAATTAATAATAATGATAAGAATTATCCATAATCTAAATATATATNTTAATGAATTAATATATAAATCAGCTAATAATAAAAACGAATTTAATATTTATTTGATTAGATTAATGATTTAAATTAATAATAATGATAAGAATTATCCATAATCTAAATATATATTTAAAAATAAAAAGATAATTCCTATATATATTGTGTTGTTATCCGGAAAATATATTTAATAAAAAAGTAAGTAAAAACTTTAGTTGTATATAATTGAAAATAAAAAATTTTTAAAATTATAATAAGTAATTATTTTCAGTGATTTTTTGCAACGGAGCTCTCACGTTAAAAGTTAGAGTGGTTAATATCGATATTACCCTTAATGAATAAATATATAAATCAGCCAATAATAAAAACGAATTTAATATATATTTGATTAGATAAATGATTTAAATTAATAATAATGATAAGAATTATCCATAATGTAAATATATATTTAAAAATAAAAAGATAATTCCTATATATATTGTGTTGTTATCCA